TTACAGATCAATTAAAGATTTACGAACGTTTAAAGAAAATCATAAGACAATATAGGTGAAAATGTTTATATTTTGGGGATGGAAAATAAAACACCAGAAGCTATGCAAATATTGAAAATTATGTCCCTTTTAAGAATGAATAATAAAAGCAAAAAAAATGTATAGAAAAACACACTGTCACTGGTTAGTTTTTCTCTGCTGCAGTCTCTGAGACTGAGATTAGCATGCAGGGGATTGACTGGGGATTCCTCTTAGGGTCAATGCCTGTGGGAGAAGAGATTGGCTTGCAATGCATTCACAATAAGGGCCTCATCTGAACACATGGGGAGTTCTGAGATTGGGTTGGGCCTTCTGAATTTTTACATATCAGGGAAAAGGGGCTGGGCTGGTATACTCTTGCACTGACCAGTCAGTGAATGCCAGTATGAACTTGAGACAAAAACTTGTGTATGTGTGGAGAACCCCTCAACTATCATTCTCCAACAATCTTAGCAGCTGGAAAAACAAAGAGCTTCTATGCCAATAATACTAACTTTCATTTCTTGGAGGAATTTCTGAGAAGGTCAAATTTGCCTAAAATTCTCCAACTTTTTCAATGACTACCATGTGACAGGAGATTTCAAATTCAGGATCACGTGTAATTTCCATAGGATCCTGTAAATATCAGTTGAGTGGGTTTGCCATCTTCACTCAATAACACTTTTCTACACTTCCCTTTGAGATAACCTATATAATCTCAGTTGGCTGAGAATTATCTCTTTCCTTTTGATGCATGACCAAAATCTTGTGAGTTTCTGCTGCCCTCTACATGACTGAACATACCTGAACACCTATACAGGTGCCATCAGGTACACTGAAAATGATTATTTTCCTGGGGTATAGACACACAGACATGAAACAGTGGGGGGAAAATATAATTATTTTTTAAATTTGTAATTAGGATGAGCATGTCTACATAGAAACCATTTTTCACCTACAAGGGGGCTCCAAGTTTGGGGGAAATTAGCCTCTGTAGATGTTTGCTCAACAGTGATTTCCATGGTCTTCCTGCATCTACCACTTATGAAGGAGGCATTGGGATTTGACCCCCTAGGTAAGCTGATTCATCCGTGTATGTGTTCAGTGGCCAGTTTCAAATAACACACCCCATTAAACTCCTGCTGTAAACAGCAGGTATTCTAACAAACCTTCTTTCTAACTTCAGGGTGACATCTCCAAATTGGTAGATTATGGGCCCAATCATACTGTACTCATTGATTCATTTGGAAAGCATGTTAAGAATGTGCTGAAGACATCCAGCAGGATGTCCAAGTATCTAAAGGTCACTGTTCAAATTCAAAGAGATTTTTCCATCAGAGCGGTTCCAGGGTGAGGGATGGATGATCAGTACTTCAGCAGGGAGTAGACATGTTCTAAGCCAGGGGAGGGGGAGTGTAGGGGTGTATGGTGTAGGAGATTTGGGGCTGTTCCACCATGAGTGGCTGCAGCTTTCAGAGGAGGCAACAGTGAGAAGCAGGCCAGGATCCAGGGATGGACAAGAGGGCACACAGGGGAAGGGTGCTGTCATGTGGAAAAAATGCATGGACTGGACAGAAATGCCAGCATCTCAGTTCTCAAGGGACCCTGGGAGTTGGGCAGGAGGAACCTTGGTAAATAAAGGCCACTGCTGTTTGTTGATTTATAGATGGTTGCAATTCTGGCAGGTGTGAGGTGATACCTTATTGTCACTTTAATTTGCATCTCTCCCATGATTAGTGACATTGAGCATTTTTTCCATATGTTTCTTGGCCATCTGTATGCCCTCTTTGGGGAAGTGTATATCCAGGTCTTTTGCCCATTTTTAAATGGATTGCTTGTCTTCCTTTTGTTGAGTTCTTTATATACTTGTTTTTTATGCATTAATATGAAATACAATAGGACACAGAATGTTAAATTAGCCCAAAATACTGCTTTATACATAAAACTCAGTACAATTTCATTCCAGAGGGTCAATTATTATTTTAAACTACAGGCCCGGGGCATGAAATTCATGCACAGCCTGCACCCTCTCCAATCTGGGACCCCTCAAGAGATGTATGACTGTCTGGTGGGATTGGGCCTAAACGGGCAGTCGGACATCCCTCTCACAATCCAGGACTGCTGGCTCCCAACCGCTCGCCTGCCTGCCTGCCTGATTGACCCTAACCGCTTCTGCCTGCCAGCTTGATCACCCCCTAACCACTCCCCTGCCAGCCTGATCAATGCCTAACTGCTCCCCTGCCAGCCTGATGCCCCTAACTGTCCTCCCTGCCAGCCTGGTCACCCCCAACTGCCCTCCCCTGCTGGCCCGGTCACCTCTAACTGCCCTCCCCTGCAGGCCTGATAGCTCCCAACTGTCCTCCCTTGAGGCCTGGGCCCCCCAACTGCCCTCCCCTGCAGGCCTGATTGCCCATAACTGCCCTCCTCTGCAGGCCCAGTCCCCCCTAACTGCCCTCCCCTGCCAGCCTGGTCTCCCCCAATTGCCAACCCCTGCTGGCCCAGTCACCCCTAATTGCCCTCCCCTGAAAGCCTGATCACCCCCAACTACCCTCCCTTGAAGGTCTAGTCCCTCCCAACTGCCCTCCCCCTGCTGGTCTGATCACCCCACTGTCCTCCCTGCAGGCCTAGTCCCTCCCAACTGCCCTTCCCTTTGAGGCCTGGTCCCCCCCAACTGCCCTCCTCTGCAGGCCTGATTGCCCACAACTGCCCTTCCCTGAAGGCCCAGTCCCCTCCAAATGCCCTCCCCTGCTGGCCTGGTCACCCCTAACTGCCCTCTCCTGCAGGGCTGGTCGCCCCCAACAGCCCTCCCCTGTTGGCCTGATCGCCCACAACTGCCCTCCCCTACAGGCCATCTTGTGGTGGCCATCTTGTGTCCACATGGGGGTGGCCATCTTGTGTGTTGCAGTGATGGTCAGTTTGCATATTACCTCTTTATTAGATAGGATTTTTTAAATTTATTTCAGAGAGAGAAAAGGAAATGGAGAGAGGGATAGAAACATCATTGATGAGAGAGAATAATTGATTGGCTGTCTCCTACAGATCCCTTACTGGGGATTGAGCCCATATCCAGGCATATACCCTGACCAGGAATGGAACCATGACCTCTTGGCTCATGGGTAAATGCTCAATCACTGAGCCATACTGGCTGGGCAAGGGTGAATTATTTAATTTGGGGGTAGGGGGTCTTCCCCAGCTTCCCCTAGAAGCAACTCAAACCTCCTAGAATATGAGTCAAAAACCAACTTCTTCCTTCCCTCCCAGCTTCTCTTACAGCCAGATCATAATTTTCATTCATTTCAACCTTACTAAATATCAAGCCTTTGCTTAGAACTGTGCAAATTACACTCAAGATCGTCTAATTAAAATATTTTCTTTAATAGAGTGGATCTGGTATTCCATGGCCAGAGAAAGGAGTGTCAGTCTTAGAGGCTTCTGGGTACCACCTCAAATGAATATCACTGGATTTTCCATAAATCCTTGAGGATGATGGGTATAAGACACATACTAAGTATAGTGTATTCAAGTGTATTGGGACAAGAGTATAGGACACCTTCTCTACCTGTCCCAAGTGCAGACTGCTCTGGATTATCCACTATCCCAAAAATAACTGTTAATTGCAGTTTTCCATTCTGGGCTTTTCTCTCATCCCCCAACACATGCTGTCTGTAAGTCTGGCAGTGGCCACCACCCAGCTTCCTTACAATCAACTCCCACAGAGGGAATCACAGTTCCCCAAAGCCCCAAATGTCCTGGCTTTGGCTATTTACACTTGAGTGCTCTTTCCTAGAGCCCCACCACTTCTCCCTTTCTTTTACTTGTTCTATAGGTCTTATGGGACTCCTCACCCCCTTCCTTATATGTCTGTGGTTTCTAGACTATCATTCTATGGGTGGGTGTGTCCTGCTTATACTAGTGTTCCCACTACTAACACAAGACCTTCCTGAAAGCCAATGTTTAATTAATGATTGTAGAAGAAATGAACCAGTGAGCAGGGGTCTTATTTAATCATATTTAATTTCTCCTACATTTTTAAATAAGCCAAACATATCCAGGTATACATCTTTTAAATTTATAGAACAATATGATAAAAGGGATAAGGGAAGGCCAGCATTAATATTTTAAAACTTTTCCTGTATTTCTTTATCCCATCAATTTTACTGCTTCTTTCAAATTTCCAAGGAAACTTTCTTTCAAAGCCATGCTATCTTGTTCCAGATCACAAAATAAGATGGAAGGTTTCCCAATTTGTTTTACAAATTCCTAAAATGCAGAAAATCTTAAAAGCAGCAAGAGAAAAACAACTTACTATATACAAATGAACCCCCACTCAGTCCCATAAGACTATCAGCAGATTTTTCAGCAGAAATTTTGCAGGCCAGAAGGGAGTGACACAATATATTCAAAGTGCTGAAAGATTCAACCTTGAATACTCTTCCCAGAAAAGTTATTCAGAATTTGTGGAAAGATCATGTTTTCAATATAAGCAAAAGCTAAAGGAGTCCATTACCACTAAACTGGCCTTACAAGAAATATTAAAAGGACTTCTTTTAAACTGAAAAGAAATTGTTCTCATTAGTGACAAGAAAACATACTAAAGTATAAATCTCAGTAGTAAAGGTAAATATACAGTAAAGGTAGTAGATTAATCACTTATAAAGCTAGTATGAAAGTTAAAAGACAACAGTAGTAAATGACTATAAATACAAAATAGGCAAAACACTCACTTCTTAAACTGGATAAACTGCAACACATTTGTGACCAATGTTATTTATAAACTTAGAACTTTGAGTTAATTACACTTTCCATTAATAAGAACAAAATCAGAAAAATTCCAAAAACAACATATTTCCAAACCACCCTTATAGAACAGGAACACGAAGATGTCATATACTAAATCTCCTCAATCCCTATTCAGCCTATCCATTACTTAGAACATTTTGACTGCTCGCTTCAAAACCAGAGTGAAAAATCTGCCTCAGATTTCACTTAGGGCAAGGGAAGCTGATGGATGTGGCTCTAGAATAGGCCCAGACCCTGGTCCTGGCTGCCCCATTCTCACTGACAATAAATCTGCCCTGGGATCTCTCTTCCTCATCTTTCAAAGCCTCCTCATAGCAGTGAGGGAAGGCCATGGGGATAGTATCATTGATCTGGGTCAAAAACTCCAAGACTTTCAACTTGGTGGTTTCAACATGGGCCCTGGGACCCCACAGGAACTCGTACCGTGCAGGATCACTTTTGGGGACCTGCCGGTACTCCAAGTACTGTTCCTGCACCCAAACTCTGGTGAGGAGCTCCCTGGGCTCCCCATAGATGAAGTGCTCCCTCCCATCATACACCCCCATAACACTCAGCATTTTCCAGATGACCTCCTCAGGAGCACAGTTGCCATTCATGAAGATCACACCCAGAATATTTATCAAGAGGCCAGTCTTGGGCACGCTCTGCTCATCATTCAACATCCCATTGCAAGTGAGGCCCAAGGTGTTGACCAGGACATAGGTGTGGCTGGTAGGATCCACTTCCTTCACATCAATGCCAAAGACCAGCTGCATGCACTCTGATACTTGGTCAAAGATCATAGGAAAGTGATCCTTGTACTCTTTGATGACACTACTTAACACTTCCGCTTTTGTGATTGGTTCCTTTGTTTTATATTTGAGGAGCAGGAACCCCACCAGATCAGCCACCTTATCTTCTATGGCATCTCTAAGCAAAGACCCAGTGTCTAGCAGAGCCTGCGAAGTGCTTGGCCCCTCCTTTTCCTGGCTACTGGAACCCTGATATGATTTGATTGATGGAGTGACTGCCATGACAGTGGGAGAGAAGTAGGCTCTCTGAGGAAGCTGGAGGGGACGTGGTGCTCTAGCAGCAGCATAATGTACCTTCATGATTCCTGTTGTCCTGGGATTGCAGGAATGGGGGGAAGAAGAGGAGGAAGAGGAGGGGAGAAGGAAGAGGAAGAAGATCAAGTGGAGGCGGAGGAAGATGAAGAGGAGGAGGAGGAGGAAGAGGAGGAGGAAGACAGGAGCATGAGGAAGAGGAGCAGGAAGAGGAAGAAGG